TCACGTACGTCTTGTTCAATGCGTGGTTAATCTAGAAAAGAAAAGGCTAAGTTTCGCTCCAGCTTTTTATCGCATTTTCCTTCTTTTACCTCTTCGACGCCGTCGTACTGGCGCAACAACAAGGCAAATATTTCCCTCACTAGATGAGTGTCGTCGATGAAATTCTCGCTGGCCCATTTCGATAAGTTCTTTACGACAAACTGTCTGAACGCCCCTACGAAATGTGGTATACATTACACACCGAGCGCTAACCTAACCAATGAGCAATTTACTTTCGCCGTCAAACTCGCTTTTAAGCATCGCTTCATAGGGCATCGGTTGCACAGGAATCACAAGACTCGCCAGCTTATCCACCCAGTTGATGTCTGCATTATCGGAAACCATAGTCTGCAAACGAAAAAAAGACAGTTCTCACCATCAGAGAGAAAAAGCGATAGTCCTCAATGCTTTCGATTACTTTATTCTTTTCTTCTTCCTCTGGAAGTCGATTGGAAACGCTTTTTAACAGACTTGCGTGAAAATTGAACAACAGAGTCTGGAGAGAATCGGACATTGGACACACCTCTACCTCTCCGTCTTCATCTAAGACTTTATATTCAGCACTTTTGAAATCAAGGAGTCGAAGCATCTGAAAATATCTTCAGTAAGCACTCATCCAAAACTGAAAGAAAACCGAATACCTGTTCTTTCGGTGGACACCGAAACTCTTTGGTTTTTTTTGCGGCTTCCGCCGGGGGCATGTCCGTCTGTTTGACATAAAGGTAGCGACGAAGTTGATCCTAAAATCACCAGATTCAAGTCACATGTTTTAAGCCTAACCAAATTTAGAGGCAATGCACAACGAAAGCAATTAAAATACGATTATGTTCACAAATTTATTTTACGCCAGATATAATATATAACGGAAACCTATAGTCTACGAAAACGAATGGAAAACCTGTAGCTGTCCTTCCATCTTCAACAAATGCGTACTTGTTGGAGTCCATGACGCGAATACAGTTTCGATTACGATGCCACTAGGAGGAATACAGTTTTGATGGAACATATGCAGCTATATAGTTACTACAGTTTGCAGTCTACTATTTCTATTCAACGCAATGGCACTTGTTTATCTACCGTGTTTATCA